CTTTTAAACCCTCCCACTATTCCCCATACAGGAAAGTGCTGCTCAGTCATAAATCTTTTAAGCCAATGTCATAATGAAAAAACTTTCACATGTGTAGCCGGCAGCCCAGATAGCTACACATAGTTCTGGACGACAGCTGGAATAAGATGGTGTGTATAACTGTGGAGATGTGGAAACCGGCTCGGATTGTTCTCTAAAAGATAATATAAAAATCTGAGACCAAAGGGGCTTACATTGTTTCTGGAAGAAGAGCGTGATGATGTGTTGGGGAAAAGATTACTGCAACGCGGAGGGTGTAGGGGCCGGAACCTATACTGTACTATTGCACAGTAGGAATGAATAAGACTTCACATGCACGCAAACCCTATGGATTGGATAAAGGCTGCAATATCTCTTTGTGCTAAGTTGGTGCAATGTCACGCTCTGTAATTTATGCAAATAATGAGAAAAAAAATCCTCATACAAAATGGATACATTGCAGAGCAACAATGCGTACTGTACGATGCATTAAGCACAGCATCAACCTGCATCGTAATGAAGAGTGAAGTACTTGTGATACACATGTTTTAGAACGTATTACTAAATTGATGAGCTGTTGCTTTGACCAACATTACCATTCATGATGCACTCAGTTTGTATTGATTGTGCAGCAGAGGCATGTTTAAGGCCACTATAACAACATTACGTAACCATTAATGAGATTGGCTAGACAGTGTTATGCTATGTAAATCATCTTACAGATGCACTCCTGTAATTATTGCGTTGATGAGGGCTGTCAGGGATGTAAGGCGATCCAAGCAAAGCTGCCTCTTTCTCCTTGCTATGCGATGGGGCTTAAATCATGAGTCAGCAGTGTTGTAGTCTTGCTATGGCATGGAAAATGGATTCAACTTCCCTATTAAAATTCTTTACAAACAACCACGTTTCTGCAACATTGTGGTCATAATAAATCGATCATGATACTGTAGTGAAAGGTGTTCTTTTCCTATACATGCAGCATTTTAGCGTGAAGAACTGAAGGGGCAATTGGAACAGACAACGTGCTCTGCCAGGGTACATAAGGAGATTTGAGAGGATTACTTTTGCAATTTTAGAGTCAATGCATTATTCATAATCCTTTGGATAGCTGAGGCCAAATCAGGGAAGGACCTCAGGTCATTAGCAGAGATATAGCATGCTTTGAGAAGAGGAGGAGGAGGAGAACGACGATGCAAAGGAGATTCTCACTCAGCCATCCAAATATATTCATGTGTCTCAGTTATTCTGTATGTGTATCTGACTTCCAACAATAATAAGTCATTGCTTTTCTTGATTCCCATTGTGTGAATTTCCATTTAGCTGCTTTACATGCCTTATATGACGGCATGAGAAATTGTATGCGCTTAGAGGAGACTTCCTGCAGATGTGATTACCTTTTCAGGAGTGTTAGATTGCCACATGTGACTGTAAAATGGCATGATCACATGTGGATCAGCCTCAAACAAATTCCCTTTTATCCGTGGGAAATGCTTCTGAAAAACATCTCACGCTAAAATCAAAGTGCATACTAAGCTATGTTTCAGAACAAATACCACCGCGAATAAAATTCAGCTGCTCCAAATTTCACAACAACTGTGGGTAAATTCATGACACAGCACACCATATTGTCCGTGCATAATGAGACTGAACAAGTTGCTTGTTTTTTTTCTTTCTCATCTGGCATTGAATCCATCGCAGTGACTGAAGTGACACTAGAAACTGTTGTTGGCATGAGTTTTTCGCAGCATTAATAGGAAGTGAGATGAAACACAGTTGGCTCTAAATATTTTCATTTCATTAACAGTTTGGGCTGAGGGTTAGGTTACAGCGGACCGTCTGCAAGGTTAAACACATGGCAGGACTCCCAATGAATAACCCCATGCCTTTTATTATCACTCGCTGTCTGCTGTGTGTGTGTGTGTGTGTGTGTGTGTGTGTGTGTGTGTGTGTGTGTGTGTGTGTGTGTGTGTGTGTGTGTGTGTGTGTGTGTGTGTGTGTGTGTGTGTGTGTGTGTGTGTGTGTGTGCGTGTGCGTGTGTGTGTGTGTGTGCACAAACACACTCTGGTGACACACCCTTTCACACAAACATTAAAGTGCTCATATGTATGTATGAACACTCACACTAAAAACTATGCAGGGTCACATAGCATAGCTTTGCAATCCTTAAAAAGTGCGTATCATTTATTTGGTTATGACGTCACTGGAACTCGAAACTGCAGATGTACATCGACTGCAGATCAGAAATGAAAATTAATCTCATCTAGCTTCTCCTTTCACTAATTTCATGGGAGTCGTTAAACTGACAGTAAGGAAATGTCTCGTCAGTATAAATTCCCCAACTGGAACAATCACATTGATGGATTTATGGATTCTCCCAATGATAAAACATGATTACTTTAAGAAAAGCTGCGAAACCATGAATATCTTGCTTTTGTGTGGTAATAAATGATTCATTGAGTTTATTTATTGCGTGGCGTCTTGTCATATGAAAATGATTAACCAGCTCCTCCTGATGTTTCCTTTCAACCATATCAGACATCATTTCATTTCCTTGTGCTTCTTGATATATTTCATGCTCGAGCTGAGAAATGTGTTTCATCACGGATGAGACAGAAAATGCAATATTTCTCATTTGATCATATGGACCTTAATTTGATACTCTGCATGGGGAGTGACTACAGTAGCGAGCTCTATTATGCATTATCAAAAAGGTTTTTTGGCCTCCTTGTTTGATCAAAGGCAGTTTATTTATTACATAATCAAAGTAAATCAAGCTTTCCCATTAAAACATGTAAAATATATTGGAAAAACTTGATTGAATCTTGTTGATAATGATGAATTTAAGTGAAAAACTACTTACTGATTAAATGAGATATTCACTCGGTTATGATTGGTAGATCATTAGTACTCTGTGACAGTGGTGAAAGCACATCGATTCTCACTCTTCATAATGCTACATTTTCAAGCACAAGAAGTTATAATTTGTATTGATTTACCTATCTATAAACAACTATGGTTTAATGGCTTCAAGCAATTATTGAAATTTCTAGCAAACTGTTTTACAAACCCATGCTATTGTAAACCATGGGCTTAATATATATATATAGGCAGATATCTTTTGGAGACTTTAACCCTTCTACACTCAAGTGAAAACTAATTTAAAGATATGTCCAAGTCCTTTCAAGCCATTAATTAGGCAATGCAGATTTTGAAGTGAAGATAATACATTTCCTCCCTACGAGTTTAGACTCAGAGCCTAAAGGGGGATCCAGGTGCTGCACATATGGGCTGCTGTTTAGTCATTTCCTCTGCCAGCTACTTTAGACCACAAGGGGAATATATTATTTACCAAACACCTATTAATAGTGAGCCAACTGCCCCACAGCTATTCCTTAAAAAAAAAAACACCCTTAACCATTGCGGGGAACATACTATCAAGCAATCTAAGTGCAGAAGAATGCATAAAAAATATGTCTCGTGAAATGTTATGTCGCATTGATAAGGAGATGACCGTAAGTGGGTGAGTACACAGGGAGCTTGAGATTGACAATGATTAGGGCTGAGTGTACCAGTGTAGAGCACAGAACTGGAGCTCAGACGTTTAGATGTAATTATGATATGAAGAACAGTAGAGCGAGCTGTCATATAAACCCATTTGTGGAGTACGAGCGTTTCCTAATGTATAGCCGAATATGATCTGTGTGGGTAAAATGCAAATGAAAATAAACTGTACTGTATTTGTGACAAAAGAGTTTCTCATAAAGCCAAGGGAAGGGCTGCAGTGTGTTTAAATCACTGAAGCTCATGTGCACGGTTCTCCCTTAAGCCTTCAGTGACACAATAGGAAACCCCAGAAATGATATGAGCTGAGTGGGAAATAGGCCACAAATCCAACTGAGCACAAATCACTTAATGCTGAAACATGAGTATTGCTATTCTACCACTATATAAATCAATAACATAAATGAGTCACGATGCGTTTGTAAAACAAATGCCAGATGAAAAAAAAAGGCCTGCTACTCAAAGATAGCATTCACAAGCACACCTACGGGAAAGCAGCAACAGCAGCCGCCAGCTTTGGCACTCCTAAAGTTTAATGATATTGTCAAGCATACAAACATCTCCTGAATGACATGCACTCACATTAAATATGCTGCTATATGTTAAGATAACCGGCAAATACTTAGCCCGATAAGACACATCCGTGATATGGCAACTTGACAGCATAACACCCCAAGTTAAAGCAAAACCGTGCTTCAAGCTCAATGCGTGTAATGAGGCTGACATCTGACATAAGTCAACGCATAGAGTTTCTGAAAGGTGTCAACACGAGCAAGAGGCACACAAAATTGTTATTCCAAAAAGGTGTGCAGAAGCAAATTATCAGAATTTTTGGCAGGCATGCTTGTTTATAAAAAACTATAGTGCGTACTGTAACTAGCAGTTGCAAGTGTTGGAGGAACCAATGAGCTGGGTTTCCAATTAAAAGTGTCTTAGCGTTAGAGTTTTAGCTTATGTTACGTGTTGCAAAAAATGCGGGAAATAGGGGTGGACGTATCATAAACCTATACTGAAGATTAGCTACATTGAGTCCTTTGTTTCTATATGTCAACACAGAGGATGCCAGTAAAAGCATTTAATATAGTCATAGAAAACACACCAAAGTGTAGTGACATTTGGAAAGTTTGACTTTTTGATTTTCTTTCTTCAGTCTTGAGTGGTTATAAATGTTTTCACTTTTGTCACATTTCAACATGTATATTAATAAATGATGTGTTCTGAATTGTGGAACCTATATTTATATCAGATATTGTGTCTTTAAGGATTATCATTTACTACCAGGATTTAAATGTATGGTCTCAGAGGAAACATGTGTTTACAGTACCTTACTAAAGGGATTAGATCCTCTCTGATTTCTCCCACTAAATATGGTTAGACACACAAACACTGATTATATTTTTCTTTTACCTCTTTCAGAAAATATGGTGAGCAAAGAAGACGCCAACTACATTGTTCTTTCAAACTCAGATGACTCCGATTCAGATACAGGCCCCTCACACAGCCTTGATGCACAGTCCGGACCAGAATCAGGCAAGCCACAGGTGAAGAAGAGAAACAAGGCTTTACAAGTTCGTTTTAGGGATATCTGTGAGGCCCAGAATGAGTTTCGGGGAAAACGCTCCAGATCCATTTCCTCCAAAGTGACACAGAGAAAGTATATGACCATGCCCGCCAGACGCTCTATTCCAAACGTGACCAAGAGCACCGGAGTCCAGACTTCGCCGGACCTCAATAAACGATACAAGACTTTCCCTTTCGAGAGGAAAAAAGGACATACATTCAAACATACTGCTTTGGTGGAAGATTATAAAGGACAAAATAATGGTTTTTTGAGCGATATAAAGACAGTAGTAGATGAAGGACAACCCATTGGCGATTCCTCAAAGTACAAGGGTAAGATTGTGGGGCAAACTAAAGCTTTGCTTCACCACACTGATGACACCAGTGATACGGAGGATTTGCTTTCGCGTGCCAACTGTCTGGATGGACCCTCTCGTCCTGACTCTTCACATTTCTCGGAAGAGTGCCATCAGGTTAGCCCTGCTTCAAAAAGAGAAACAGAGTACCAGGGTTGTGGGACAAGGACCAAACACAAAGGATTACCCAAAGAAGATACGGACGCTGGCACTTCCTCAAAGCGCCAGCTTGCTTACTCAGAGTTTTCCCAGGACAAGTCGAGGGGCGCGGGCCCTGTTGCGTGGAACTCTTTGACACAGGTGGAGTCTTTAGGAAGCCCGTCTGTGAGCTGTAAACGGAAAAAGGGTACACAGCTAAACGAACAGCAGTCACAGACGCTTCCCCATAGTGCCAAATGTTCAGTGCAGTCACAAGGGCATAGTCGGACCAGGCATGCATCAGCCTCCTCTAAACTTCAGCAAACAGTTGGGGGGGACGAGGGCTTTCCTCCAAGAGACACACGAGCCCCAGGCATGCGGAGCAGCCAGCAGATAATGCCCTTATCTGAAGACAAGGATATCAAAGTGCAGCTGCAGGCGATGGAGAACCTCATCAACTCCAGCCAAGAGACCATCAAGGTGCTACTTGGAGTTATTCAGGAGCTGGAGAAAGGGGAAGCGCAGAGAGGAGGGTGAGTAGATTTAGCTTTACAGTGCAACCAAACAAACTTTCTACACATATGCATGTTTCACAGTGTGATGTGAAGGGCTATCAATGTCTTGGACACAGTGGTTCTTTGACCTAAATGCTCACATCAACATGATAACATGCTCTCATAATGACCATTGTGACATGATGATGTTTAGCAGGTATGTTGTTAACCATCAAGTTTAGCATATCAGCATGATATAACTTGCTATTTAGAACCAAGAACAGAGGAGGTCTGAGAAAGCTGGGTATGCATGTATTTGAAGGCAAACCAAATAATTGAATAAACAGATATGTTGACCTTGTGATGGTGCTTGAGGAAAGGTCCTCTGCAAACCCTTAGTGTCTTTACCTAAATGTACATTAGTGCATTCAATATTTTTAAGATATTTTCTTAACAAACCAGAGAAGTCCACCTCATGCTTCTGCTAATAGAAAAATAATTTGAACCCACAAACAACTTATTCTCTTGGAACTATGAATATAATCGTAAAGAATGTGCTAAAGTTAGTGTTGATATATATCTCTGAATAAATCAATTAAAATGGATCTGTCTGTGGCGCGAGTGGATGCATCAAGTCTTTATGTAGCGTTTCAAATAAACAGCACAATGCAAATGCCTTCTAATACTGTCTTCCTGTGTAATCTTAACCCAAGGGCAAGCTTTCTCTGTTATTTCTTTATGTGTCATATTTCATTAAAGACTTACCTGTAAAGGAGAAAACGCAGTAACAAGCTTCATAAAGTCCTCGAGCCATTCCCACAGCCAGACTCCTACGGCAGTGCAATTGTAGGAATCAATGCTAAGTACTCCGTCGCAAAAAAAACTCAGAGCAACACAAACCAAATTGTATTTAAGCCTTAACCATATCCAGTGAAGTACAAGGCACCCCAGTGTGGCTCTGTGGAAGTTGATTGTGAAGGCTCAATTAGTGCTGGCTCATAACGCTTTGCCTTTCATCTCCACAGAACTGAGCCTGCTATAGAGCCTTCACTGTGTTGTGTTGCTTAAGTGTTATTAGAGAGGTGCAGTTACAGGATGCAAAGCCTGCCTTACACAATGCATTCCCAAATACTCTTCCTTTTGTTGCATGGCTGGGCAGTCAAATAGCCTGTTTTAATGATACACTTTGAAAATAATCCAACTAAAAGCCTCCCTGTTCTCATCTGGGATAAATAAGTTATGTACAGTGATTTTCAAGCCAATTTTTTCAAATGTATGCAATGCCAAGAAGCAGTCTATAGGTCGTGCAAGAGTGTATGCACAATGTTGTCTTCACTTTACTGTTTATATTGGAAATAACTACTACAAATTATTACAAAATATCCCACTTCTCCATTTTTGGCCGATTTTATTTACTGTCGCTCATGTGCCGCATGAGACAATAAAATTAAACAGAAAATGTTCTGCAAAAGTACAACAGGAACTCAAAATGAAGCATGTGCTCGACAGCTGCTTCACATCTCCTTTAGTACAATAATATTGCACAAAACAGATACTCACCATTGACTTGTAAACAGGAACAATGCATGTGCTTGTCATCTGTTTATCATCTCATCAGGTTTTCCAGACCTAACAGGAAGTGGTTTGCTGACACTTGATTTTTGGTATTGAGGATAATACAGTTACAGAATACATGACCAGAGAGTATGCATTGTATAACCCTCCATATTCAATGTTGTTGTTGTTGTTTTTTACGTGAAAGAAGATTATTATTCTGTGGCATGACCTCGTTTTTTATGATAACAACAGTCCATGTGTCAATATTATTTCCATGTGTGATGCATGCACACTGTATCTTATACTGTTTGAATACAATTGCCATAGTACTGTTATTCATATGCAATAATGCAACATTTGTCATTATTATCATCATCATAGAAAGACTGTCTGCTATGTATACTATATACATAACATGTATTTCATGTAGAATGACAAACCCGATGTTTGAAGCACATCATACCACATGAGACAGTGTGGCCTGCTGAGTTCTTGTTCACAGGTTATCGATAAAAATGCAAAATACTATGCAGTGTTCAGGCAGGCAGAGCAGCAGACACAAAAGTGGGGGGTGTGGACAGTAAAAGTGGAATGCCAAGGGCAGGACAGATCCCAGGACAGCTGACATGGGCAAACCACACAGATAGTGACTCTGTGCCAACAAATGGTCAGCTTAAAAAAACCTGACCGTTTTGACCGTTCTCAGAGGTGCAGTTATTTTTTCCCCATGACGCATCTATGAAACCTTCCTCTGTGACAATGGGTGCTTTTTAATACAGCTCTTTATTGGGTCATGAGCATTTCACCCATAATGGGAGTGTGTTTTTGTGCAGAGTACACACAGTGATTATGAATTTAGGTTAATACCCTTTGATTATAAGAGAGAAGCTCTTTAAATTTCAAGGCTGTACATGAGCGGCCGGCAGCAGTAGCACTCTGTGGACCCTGTCACTGCGCTGAGTTACTGTCCTTGCACACAGCTGTTCAGAGACATCATTTGGGAACAGGGCAGGATGGATGAACTTGTTGACCTTGAGCTCCCATCAGCGTTCTCGATCCTCGCGCTGTTCTCTCTCCCCCGATGAGGTCACTTCTCATGTCAGGGTGAACCGTTGCGGTGTGACACCTCCACATGTCATCCTACAGGGTGAGGGGCTGCAGTGACAGCAAGCAATTACAGAACATGTGCGGCTCTAACACAGCCCCTCGTATCCCCCCCCACACCACTGCCGCCTGCCTTTGCATGCAGTGACTTATAGTGCACATAACATTAAGCAGACCTGCATGGTAAATTCAAATGAGGATAAATGAAAAACTGGCCATATGAAAGACTAGGAGTGTTACACCAAAGGCATTGTATATTTAACACGTCACGTTTGACATATGTATGCATAAACCTCTGTGGTGAGATAGCTGAGGTTGTTCCTTTGTGAAGGTCTTTGAACAGAACAAATTAAAACTGTTCTACAGTAAAGACACTGGCCCCTCAGGTCTGTGTACCTATCCCATGAACAGAGCAGGTGCAATTTGTCTTTTTGATTGCTTTTTTTAATCGCTTATGTTTTATATCTAAAGCAAATTAAGTTGGAGGAGAATATAAAAAGATATATACAGCATAGCGCAGAATGTTACGGTATTGATTTCTCATTACATATGATTCATGCAGCATTTAGTTGTTATTTTCTTCCTATTGCACAGCTAATAGACACAGAACAGATTTGATAACTATGCCATGGCAAAGCTAAGTAATCCTGTTATGTAAAATCAGTAAGTCTACACACTTGATTAACCAAATCTGAGAGAACTGCAGGATCAGATCAGAGCCCCTGCTGCATGTTCGACTGTTAGGAGTAAACAACACTGGGTAAAAACCAAGCTGAACAAATTATGTGTGATACATGATGCCCAAAGGTGTTGAAATATAAATGCTAAAGCCTGTCACTTGAGATCACATACATCTTTTCATCTCTCTGTTTACAGGCTCACCTACCGAACAGGACAAGACACAGCAAATTGTGACACTTGTCGAAACAGCGCATGCATCATTTACAGGTGGGCCCTTTTTAACTGCCAGTGTTTCATTAATGCTGCAATAAATTGTGTTTTCTGTTTGATTATGTGATTCAGTGTGAAAGAGGGATGCTTCCAGGAGTATTTGGTGCAGTGTTCTGTTTAGAAAATGTATAAGGATATGTAGTATCTGGATCTGACAGAGGCAATACGGTTTGATCAATTGAATAGATGCAAATAAAAGCTTTTGGGTGTAGTATTAAATTATAAAATGAGCATAGGGCTATGAAAATAATTAAATGTGCAGTTACTGGCAGTGCTGTACTGCACCATGGTGTGTTTTTCTACAATGGAAGATGAAATACATAATACCTCCATTATCATTTGCGAAGGTTTCTGGGGAATGTATGGCCTCTCTGTAATAAATCAGTAATCATACACAGCAGTGGAAAGTGAATTAGATAGGGTAGGAAATTACAGTGGGCCCTGTTGCACAGTATATGAGGACCTTGAATTTCATTACAACCCATAAAACGCTGTTCTCTATTAAAGAACAAATGATGCATTAACTCTTTTGATTTGAAAAAAAATACACAGTATAGCCGCGGTTTTGTGTGGTGTAAGTGTTCTGTGTGACGAGCTGGAAAAAGGCTCAGAAGCGGGAATCCACTGAAATGGTACCCTTAATTTAGTTGTCACTTCACTCCAGAAACCTGTTCTGCTGAACCCACTTGTTACCCTGTTATCTAAAACAGGAAACAGACAGCTGTTTGGAAAATGCTCATCAGACACTTCACTCTCTACAGTTGGACCTTTGGGGTTGGGTTTCGATTGTGCATAAGTGAAAGTAGCTCAAAAAGCACAAAATCATTGATGTAAACTTTCCTTTCCTTTCTAAATATGATACATGCTAATGTAACATGATATTTTTCCCAAACTTCTGCTTTATGCTTCTCTTTCTACAAAATGGAGATTGTGTTTCTTTTGGATTCTTATTGATTAATTTCAGATATTTAAAACACAGTTATTGTTTTAAACTAATTTGGACACATACTCATGGACATTTCTCGCAAAGAAAGAAAAATGTTCTTTAAGGTTTCAACTTTATGTTGCATTTTCTACAAGGATCCTCATCTCTGTTTTCCCTTGACAAGTGCATTGTTTCAAGCTGACCTAGATTGTGTTTAAACACTATATATGACCTTGAAACAGGCTCGCTATTTCATATCAGATACAGGGGGTAATGAATGATCGCCCTTCACAGATGTGTTCCTTCCTATACAAGTGTAGCATGACAATTCGTGTATTATCTGACTTTTGTCACAGAAATAAAAAAAACGTGTTTGATTCTGAAATGATAACGCCTCATATCCAACATGTTGGGGCTAGAAGCTAATAAGCAAGCAAAGAAAACATATTTTACCCAAAAATGTTTATACTCCAAAAGATGCTGCAGGGTTTCATAAAAGGTGCTGTCCAGGGGAACCTCCTCTGTTGCACCCGGCACTCTAAAATCCATCTATAATTAAATGTATTTCCTCGTCCATCTCCATAACTGTCACGTCTCCTTAACCTCCCCCATCTCTGTCATCTGCTCTGCACTCGCAAGGCACTTTTTTGGCATCTTAATTCATGTCGAACCATTCTTTATTTTTGTCAGTGCACCTCTGTTCAGATCAAATCAAAGTTTATTTATATTGCCCAATATCACAAAACAGATTAAAATGAGAGAGTACAACAAAAACTCAGTAAAAACAATTAAATTAAATACCATAAGGTGTAGGACTAAGGAGGACACACATAGGGACATTTAGAACCAGCTCTAAGTATAGGCTTTATTAAAAAAAGAAAGTCTTCAACAAGTTCTTTAATTTGTTGCACACAGTTGGTTCCGGAGCTCTGACTCCTGCTCTGGTTTTCCGGGAGTTACCAAAAGACCTAGAGAGTCAATAGGGGATTCAAATATATTTTAGGTATAATGGTGCCTTTCCATTTAGTGCTTTGTAGTTGAGTTTTAAATGTGATTCTGGACTTTACTGGGAGCCAGTGTGAGAGCTGATACAATGTGAGTGATATGGTACTTTGTCCTTGTTTTTGTTTGCTGCAACATTTTTGTAGACGACAACTGTTGTAATATTCCTTATATTTGTTGGTCCATTTACACCATTACTTTTTTTTCATTTTAAATGTAGGACCCAAAGCTTATTAATTATGTTAAGGATAAAAAAACACCTTGGAGCTACAATTGTAACCTTACAATGCACCTCACACTAGTCTTCACACTTTTGAACGTTAACACCCAAACTGACCCAGACATGAGCCGCCGACTTGCCTAAGGAGCATGACTAAACAATATTTTATGTTCTTCTCCTGCTGCAACAAACCAGGATATTTGGTCTGTTTTTGCTCCAGGTAGAGTCAAAAATAGAAACAAAATGCTCTCCTGTGATATCTCTCCAAAAACACCACAATTGAACAGACAGAGGGCTGCAGAACGACAGACACTATCACCAGTGAACTGAGAGCACAGATGTAAACCTGAATCAGTCCAATGTGAAGAAATAAGAGAAACTCGACACTTCTGGGCAAAACAAGATATTATTGGATCTGAATCTGATTTTCTATAAGAGACACTGGCAGGTGTCGGGAGGAAGAATAGCTACTCTCCTGAGGACCTGGTGTCTGACCTCACAAAAAAATCCTTCAAGTCTTGTCTGCTTACCTATCTTTAAAGACATGTGGGACTAAATGATGTTTTCGAGGCAGATGGAGTTCACTTAAATAGGATAAAGCTGTTCACCTTCACCTACTCCTTCACCCAGCTGTTCATACCACTTCTCAAGATGTTGAAGTAAATAAGGCCATGCTTAGTGTTATAAAAAGAAATGTCTCATTCATGCCAAACAAATGGTATGATTACTCTGACAGCAGATGATTTTAATCTTTATAATTTACAGATCCTCAGATGTGACAAAGCAGATGTGCACATTTCTTTTTGGGTTACTTTTTCTTTTTTTAAATTGTATGCGCAGTACTCCTTACTTATTACAGCCAACATCTAACATTACTGCAGTGAGTCTGTCTGTTTCTATTTGTATTCCCTATTTTTATCGGTTTAATATCATTACTGTAGGTATGTAGGTATGTACTGTAAGTAAGTGAGGGTTTCAATCTTGGGGTTAAGGCAGATTGGCTATGTAAGAATATGTATAACTATTTCGATAAATGTCATAGGATATGATTTGACTGGACTTATTGTGGTTAATATTGTTTGTGGCCAAAGAATGCATTTAGGATTCCTCTAACTAAGAAGAAAACTCTATAGATTTAATAGCTACATAATGACTAAAACAATAATACCCCTACGTAGAGGAGCAAAGAAAACTCCTAAAGCCTACGGCTGAGTTTCTCTTTTTTCCCCTGACTGCTCCTATCCCATGTCGGTGAGGCAGTTTGGCTTAAACAACAAACTACCAACAATTTCTGATGGCAAAGACGCGCCCCTCAGTCTGTTGACACTAAACCAAAGCATGTACGGTAATAAAATCACATTAAAGGCACACTCTGCGGAGTAGTAATAAAGTGGAAGATTATTATTTCATCTGCGGTCTGTATCATTAAACGCTGTTTATTTCCGATCACCCGATTAGATTTTAAGTCATGGAGTAGAGCAGAGCCTTAGCTGGCAGCAGTGTAGTGCTCCATCATGGTGCTCTGTGTCTTTGCCAAGGCAGTTGTCATAAATATCTTAAATTCTGCAAATAGTGCTGTTTATTATTCTTCAGCTGCACAAACCTTCCAAGATTGAATTATGTTTGTACACAGGAAAAATAAAAGCATGTATTTATTGTTTATCTCAGCTCTTGATGTCAGAATAGCCTTTTTAATCTCATGTGCAACTTCCTCACCTCATTAGCAGCACCCTGTTATTATAATAGTCTATTATCACAGTGAATTAACCTGCTGAACGGCCAGCAGAAATCACATTACACTGAGGAAAATTGAAATAGGGCTTGGAAAAGTCAGTGCCTCAAATGGTTAGACTGGAACTGCATGTTGCAACTCTAACTGAGGTAGACTCCCCTGAGATGTAGCCCTTAATTTTAGAGCAGTCCACAACCTCCAGTGTGTTCGATAAATTCAGCACTTGAGTATTTGCTGAGCTCAGGTATCAGCAGGTCTCATCCATACTTCAGCTCCCCCCCCCGACAGTCACCCTCGATATACTGCAGCATCTCATACATCACTGCAACAAATAGGGATACATACATATGGCGAGTAAAAGGGAGGAATGGAAAGACTGTATGGATGATCATTTAAGGAAATAACTATAATGCTACTGTCTATCACATCAGGAGAAAAGGTATGTCAAAAAGGGTCCTTTCACCCATTTATCAAAAAAAAACTGAGAATGCATGTTTTGTCCATATTTTGGGATGGCGAACTGGACTCAATACTATTACCCATGAGCCTCAGCTGCCAGTGCAATGGGAAATAGGCAAGCTAGGGATATACAAAAAGTGGTAGCAAATTCAAAACGCTTGTTTGTCACATTTGGGTTTTTTTGTAATACATTTAAAAATAATAGTATGGTATACACTTTACAGTACTTACAGAGCACATACAATCTTCTTAGAGTAGAATGTTGTGAATGCTATGTTGTGAATTCCCCATCTGTTTTCTTCTTTTTATGGGATTTTATTCAAATATATTTTTCACAAGTCCTTCAATTTCAACATAACAGTTTTCTTTTAACCAATAGCTTGTCATTTGCTACATTTTTGCTACCCATATTACTAGAAATAAGTTAACATCTTCTTCTTGATCCCCACTGGCTTTTTTTTTTCCAAGTAGTAAGATAAGTGGATCTTTATTAAGATTAATACCATTTTCAGATGCTTCTAGCTTTTAATGAACAAAATGAACGACTGGGGTTTGCCATCTGCTCAAAATTCTTTCTAATTTGGTGTGTCTTAAATTTTAGAGAATTATGATCCTCCACATACAATCTTTTCAAATGTTGAATTCGTTTTTCATATGTATTTTTCCATTTGTTTTTTCCGTTGACATTCATTTGTTTATTTTGATTATTAGCTAGTATTGTTTTTACCATCTAAGTAAGGAAGTTATAATATTTAGCATTGTATCATTGAATGTTTTAAAACAATAAAAAGTTAACTTCTTAATTGGAAAAAGTAACTAAATGATAATTGGTTGGACCACATTGTGATCCAATCTGATACACTGATACACCGATATTGCTAGAAGAAGGTTTTTAAAAACAATATAGGGGTTGTAGTATACTTAATGGACAAAAACAAGATGGAAACTGCTCTTTATAGTCCCTTGTTATCTACTTCTGTATATCAAACAAGATTTCTAAGAGCATCCGTTGCAAATGATGTGTGTCCCACCACTGAGTCAACATAGAATACAAACCCAGTGTTACAAACAAAATCCGATCAAAGCGTTAAAGCATTTTATCCCTATCATGCTGCGTTGAATAAGAACTAGCACTGGAATCAAAGTACACTCTGTAGTTGTTTCCAATTTGGAAGTAACAATGACTTTGAAAAAGAGTTAAGTTCAGGGAAAGGCAACTGCAAAGCAATATGATGAGCTAATTAGCACTTGTATCCCACGCTGCGATGGAGGAGCCGTGGTTGTTTTGGTGAACAATTGTCAAGATTGCTTATTCTGTTTTGTTCTCATTAATGAGATCGGGTTTTTCTTTGAGCCTCTGTGAAGCAGAAAGCTATGTAATAGACAACAGCAATGGCTGAAAAGAGAGAAACATGACTGCTGAAGAATCCCAGCATCTGATTTCCATAACCTGTGGGAGGTATCTGCTTCAACTGTTGCCTGTCTGTCTGGAGGAAATAACTGTCAGTCTCCAGGGATTCAATCTACTATGCCCTGTCATGTAGCTCTGAGGATGTTACACTATACTGGGTCTGAACCACTCATCTTGTCAAGTGAAGGGTTTGAACTTTGAGTGGCCAAAGGGGAAATCAAGAGAGGGGAAATGACTTTACGCTGAAAGGTTGGCAGTAGCGGTGAGAGAACAGAGGCTGTGCAGGTATACACTGCTGAATGAATAGAGTATGCTGTGCTAAAAAGACTCATCACAGCAGCACAATCCCTCCCAGGAGCTACAATAATTGAACGGTGCTCAGCACACCACGACCACAGACAAACAAACAGCTCGCCACTGATCAGCAACAGCTACTCACAATGCATAGCTAAAGAGATGATTAATCTGCTTTGCTAAAGGCCAAAGCAAATCCTCCCTGTCTCCAGCCGCTTCAATCTGTTTGTGTGGAGAGATGATCTTAGATATAAGGCTTTTGTTTGCTGCAGCACCTGCTCCCCAGAGCCACCCACATCAAACAGTGCTGCCTCCGGCTTCCCACCGAGGCATTTGTCCACGGCGTTTAGTAATTGCAGTGATATGCCAAGTGATTTATTGCTTAATAATTGCTGAGGCTATTCACACTGTGATCCTGGTCTGCTTTCTGTCAAGTCAACATTCTTTAAACAGCAGTTGCAAAGACACATTTTTCAACAAAAGATACAAATAGAGATTAAGCTGGAGGAAATTAAATGACAGATGCTGTTTCCACCCGGGGGAGTTTAGTGAACAATGCTATTTGCACCCGGGTGACAATGCTATTTGTGGTGTGGCTCAGTGGGATCATGCGCTGGTCTTCGGATCGAGGAGAGCAAGCTTGAGTCTAACTGCAGTCAGCATATCGTTGTGTCCCTGGGCAAGATACTCTGCTTCTGTGGGGACTGCCCACAGTATTGAATGTATGTAAGTTGCTTTGGATAAAAGCGTCTAACAAGTGACATGTAATGCACCCGGGTGTAAATAGCATTGTTGACTATAATCACCCGGGTGTCTGTAGTCAACAATGCTATTTACACCCGGGTGATATAGTCAAAAATGCTATTTACACCCGGGTGACTATAGTCAACAATGCTATTTACACCCGGGTGTTTATAGTCAACAATGCTATTTACACCCGGGTGACTGTAGTCAACAATGCTATTTACACCCGGGTGTTTATAGTCAACAATGCTATTTACACCCTGGTGATATAGTCAAAAATGCTATTTACACCCGGGTAACTGTAGACAACAATACTATTTACACCCGGGTGACTGTAGTCAACAATGCTATTTACACCCGGGTGATTATAGTCAACAATGCTATTTACACCCGGGTGACTATAGTCAACAATGCTATTTACACCCGGGTGTTTATAGTCAACAATGCTATTTACACCCTGGTGATATAGTCAAAAATGCTATTTACACCCGGGTGACTGTAGTCAACAATGCTATTTACACCCGGGTGATTATAGTCAACAATGCTATTTACACCCTGGTGATATAGTCAAAAATGCTATTTACACCCGGGTGACTATAGTCAACAATGCTATTTACACCCGGATGACTGTAGTCAACAATGCTATTTACACCCGGATGACTGTAGTCAACAATGCTATTTACACCCGGGTGACTGTAGTCAACAATGCTATTTACACCCGGGTGACTATAGTCTACAATGATATTTGTGGTGTAGCTATTTTCACCCAGGTGGAAATAGACACTTTTAAATTGAACAATGGATAATATGTATAAGTTAAAGTTGTAAAACAGTTGCATCACATACTGCAAGAAATAGAAATTGTCAGGACGAAGACCTTCTCATTGTCAAGGATTCAAGTGTTGGATTTGAATAGAAGTATGAAAAGGAAACCGTACATAAGAAAAAGAAAGGAAGCAGTTTGCAAAAACAGGTTTTGTTGTGGTGCAACAAAACATATTTTTTATATAAATTCACAAACCAATGCAGGCTCTTGTACATTTGATCCAGAGTTTGATTCATTAAAAGTCAAAGCCTTCCAAACATCTATGCAGTGCTCCATCCAGTTTCTCCCCTGAAGGCTTTATTAGAGCTCTCTTGTTAATCGACACTTATCTTAAGGGTGAGGACAGTTCCCAGGATTAATTTTGTCACTTTGAGAACAGCATATCCTTGAGCTAACTAATTACACTGCCCATCAAAGCCCTCACCCTATCATACAAAGCTTAGTACTTTAACTTGTACTTGTGTGCCTGCAGACAAGAAGAGGACTTCATGCTTGACCTTGACATGTCAGATGTCATCTCTTTCGGCAGCTTCAGTTCTCCCTTCCACCTTTAATCCTCCAGACTTTGAATGACAAGAATAAGCTGTAAGCAGTAGTATTCACTGTGCTTCTTAAAAGCAGTGCCCTGAGTAATGGTTAGTATTAAAAAAAATGAAAAGAGAGGATGAATAAAAATGCCAAAAACCAAAAAGCAACATTTTATTTTGAGGTGAGGATGAGTGTCACTGTTGCATGCATAAAGCAGATAATTCATTCTCTTTTAGATCATTCGGATGCTCTCAAATATTTATTGCATACCCCAGGAATAAATACATTAACAGAGCACTACAAATCAATAGTAATAAAGTGAAAGGAGATGGTGTATAATAATGCATTTATCCCTAGCTTGAATACAGGCAGTTAATCAGGATCTGCTTGGCCTCTCAATGGTTTCATTTGGAAAGGATTAAGCCTCACATTTCTCCCAAGCCTGAGAGATTTAATCGGGGAGAGAGTTCAACTAAGGTGGCGGAACAAAATCATACAATGACCAGCCTGGGATTACACTTGCGGATGTGAAGGTCAGGAGCAACCCACTTTTTGGCATTTTTTTTAATACAAATATAATCTGTGCAGGAAAAGCCCTTTGACTGCATTGCATGAAAGATACCGGGAGGATGCAAAGGAACTCTATTACTCGGAGGAGTCTGTGAAATGTAGATCTGTGCCGCAAGACATGTGTGCTGCCAGGGTGTCTGTCAGTGCATTTGAACTGTTTGCCTCCCTCCCAGCCTCCATCTGGACATCAGTGGATTACCAGTATCCACTTTTGACTAACGAAATTGACTCATGAATGTTAACACTACCAAAAAGATAAATCGCCTACTTTGACAACTTTTTACTGGCAATCAAGATATATACCATGAAATCCTCACATTTAAAGTTCAATTTTAAACTGAATAATGTACATATATGTACTAAACTTCTCCCTGTTTTGCTTGTGTTACAGTGTGGAGCTGGACTTTAAACTGCAGGAGGATAAAATACAGCCCCTGATTAAGAGACTTTACCCTCTGGATAGTCAACAATGCCCCGCTCTGCCTTACTCCAATGAAGTGTTCACATCCACCCCCAAGCGCAAGTCCAAGACAGAGTCCAAAAAGCATTCTCGTTGGAAACTTTGGTTCCTTTGAATAATACATGAAGGTTTTGGAAACAGCCTTTTTGTTGGGCACATTAATACCCCTGTTGTTCTCTAAAGGGATGAGGGAATATTCAGAGGGAATAATCACCACATGAGGATGCATAAGGACAGAAACCAGTTCATTTTTGGGGATCTGAGTTGAGACTGCACATTATGTCAGCTAGGGGACAGCAGAGACAAATAACAATTTAAGGTCTGCCAAACCTTTTCCTGGCTTGTTCGCTGAAGAGGATGGACACACACCTGCAAAAAACTAGGTGAGCTTTGGGATACATATGTTTCTTAGCTGTGTAAAGATGGATGTTATTTCAATACTGCACCTCTCACTTTATATGCGCGTCTTTTTATTGCCTTCTCCAATGCAATGCACTTTTGATCTTATTCCTTTAGAGCATATTGCTTGGCCACAAGAGGAGGCGCCATGTGGAGGGCCTTTTTTAAGTGAAGCTATAACCTTTTGAATGGACATCAGCCCCACCTACGGCAAAGCACAAACATTTGACTATTGAGAAGAAAATGCGTCAAAGACTGAAATACCGTACAGTACATGGCAGTGTGTCAGCGCTGTTCTTATTACCCTGTCTCTTCTCTCCTCTTCCTCCTTTTCTCTTGCTCAGTTTGTCTGTCCAACTGACTGTCTGCCTGCATTTGTTAATATCCCCTGTTTCCTCCCTCTCTTTCAATCTATGTCCCTTTATCTTTCTCTGCCTTTCTATCTTTCTCTCCATTTAGCTCACTGTGCAACTAAACAACTAGCCAGCCAACTTTGCCTCAGTCATCCCGTCCTTTTCTGCTGGCTACACTGACACATAATGATCAGAATCTATTTTAGAATATCTGCTTGTTTTTAGCAAAGTATTGTGACATTTTAAAATGTATGAGCGCCTGCTCTTGAAGCAGGTCAAATTGTTGAAAAAAATATCTTGGGTTAGGTCACATTTTTACCAACATATATAATGTTTTGACTAATTCCAAGGCAGAATATTTTCTATTATATCTGAGAAAGTGTCTGGGTTTTTTGGAGTTTATTCTTGAATTTCAAACAAAACGTAAAGGCTATTTTGACATTTCTATTTAAGTCTGCTAAGAGTTTGCCTTGCCTATCAGTCATTCATTGGGTCACAGTAAAGCTCTGATGTGATGTCTTGAACCGACTCTACTTCTGAGCAATTTGTTTCATGCCCAGTTGGCTTACACTTGAAGTGTGTTTTGTAAAAATAATTTATCTTGCCATTCCATCTTGTGAAATATAACATTTTTTTTCTTTTTTAATTTGCATAACACCATTACAAAACACCAAACATCTGTTTAACAACCCACACAAACAACTGCGCACTGAACTTGCAAGAGTAGAAGGGCTATACAGTGCTAATGGAGTATGGTAGCAATCTTACAGCAGAAAAGACTTGTAGCCACCAGCTTTGGTAAAGTACAAAAAAAAACACTGATGATGTAGCAATGGTACCGAACAAAGCAGGTATTTACTGAAGTCTTAAAGTGATTTTATAACAGCAGCTCTTATGTAGATGATGGTACTGTTTAATGTCGGAGAAATGTCAGGAAGACTCATACTGGCCTCCCATCGTTAGACCACGCAGCATTCAGGTCACCAATTTCCATGCAAAGATCTGTACCTTGAGAAAGTGCAATTTAGTTATTATGTGAAATAATATGCATTTTTCTACTGTTTCTACATCTCGATTAAAACATTTTCAACTGAAAGTGCATCAGTGTGCTCCTATGTCTATGACAGCTAAAGGCAATAGAGTTACTAAGTGAGGAGCCATTTTGGGAGATCAAGACCTTTTCATTCATTTTTTCATAGTCAATGTTACGTGACTCACAGTTGTAGCACTTCTACAGTTGTATTGGCATGAACTCTCCTTCTTGACTCATCAGTACCAAAAGATTAACAGCAGTGTTAACAAAAATAAAATAATACAAGCTTGTATGGAGGATCAGGAGAAAAGGTAGCTAGGACTCAAAACATTCATCACTTCAGTTTAAAATAATTTGATGTGCAATAAATGAAAAACATTTTTTCTTGCAATCTGCCTGACCAATTTTAGTGTTTGTTTTCATGTTGGTTTGGTTTAGAGACTATAGCGCTGCCCTTTGTTAAGAACTACAGTATGATCAAAGGGCATTTTTAATGCTTCAACGCGCTGATTTGCACCTCTTGGATTCTTCTCCATAACAACAGCAGCTGAGGCTCATGGGTATCGTATTTACTGGAGAGCTGTCCGCATGCCAAAATGATGTGATGTGACAAAATATGATATGCCAGAATCACAGTTTAATTTATTCAAAGCATTAGCCAAAGCACTACCTATCTTGTAAACGTATTTTATCACTTTACATCAACATTATCATTGAGGGTCAAATTTGAAATGTGAATTCAAAATGAGAAAAAGACCGGAGACAGCAACTCTTTGTGACTGCAGACAACTACACCAGGAATAGGTGTAGTTACAGCCAGAGCTGCATTCAGCCGCTGTCTGACAGTCCACATGTTACATCTTTTGTGCTATAGTGAGGCAGAGTTGGACCATGACCAGGGCTCAGCAGCTGTATTGTGGTTGAGCTCCTTCTTCTCCCTTCTAATGTGATTAGTGCTCAATCGCAAGAAGAGTCAAGACCAGGAGGCGAGAGGGGTTCCAGGCCATCAATCTGAGTGACCTGATACCACATCCATCCCTCTCACCCCCTGATCCACCGCACAGTGTCTGTCTCTTTCATTCTCCTCAGCTGATTCTCTGTAGCTTTTATTTTACCAGTGTCCTCCATCATTCCTACAGCACTTTCTTCCTCTATTTTGTTACCACAGCCTTTTGTTCTCTCTGCATTCCTCTCCTTCCTCTGCCATCTGCCTCTTAATCTCAAGCATGTGGGATTACCTATTTTCTATGTAGTTCCATCCATATGATAATAGTTTTAAAATGGGTAAAACATGATTGAGCATTGTCAAAGAAACTGATAAGAATATGTTTATTTTATTTTTTTATTACATTATTTCAACATTCAAATCATTTCTCTGAAAAATAGTATGAAGATTCAAGGGTGTACAGATTCGAGGTACTGCAAATTATACATTATTTTTTTTAAAAACAGATAAAAAGAATACATTAAATCCATCCCTAGATGTAGTTCCACTTTGTAGCACTGTCTGTAAAAGTTGTAACAAGGATATTACATGATCATATGAAATATTATGTCAAGTACAGTGAAGTTTATTCATTAATATCGAGGACTATATTATATGGAAGCCAAGAATACATAAGAAGCTTTAGTTTGGGATACAAAATATCTACATTCTGTCAATTGTGATTAAGCATCATTTTGGTTTACCATATTTTTATTTCATGATGTTTTAGATGTTTTCTGTTTAACCCTGCATGGCAGAAGTGGCTTACGAAATATGGCATATGGCAAATATGGAGTCTGTTTAGGCCACACCCAATAGTGATGTCACAGTGCACTGACACCCTGGAGTACACATCCACATCGCAAAGATAAACCACTGGAGGTCAACAAAAACAGCATGTACTTTCATTCCATTTATAAATAGAACAGCAAGAGTGTAGTGTATAAAAAAGTGTTGGATAATGTGCATATTATAATTAATGCTGTAGTGTAAATCATATTTCAGTTTCTCTTGACGCAGATGGCCTCTCTTGGATCAATGCTTTTTGAGTGGCATTACGAGTGCTCTTGAGGAAGACCATGAAGCTGGATCCACCGGTCCCTGTGGTGTTCAGCGCGGTGCCAACACCTCTCAGTGGGCAGCCCATGGCCTGAGAACCGGGCAAAATAACGTACTTGGCCACAGTCTTGAGGTGGTAGTTCCTTAAATCTACTAGCGCTGAGATACAGGAGTTGAAGGCCTGGCAGAGATCGGAGCTGGGGTGGGACAGGATGAAGTCTCGCAGAGATGGACAGACAGACAGAGTCTCAATCAGCCGACGGTGGGCGGGAGGCATGTACTCCCTCATGCGTGTCAGGAAGGCTCCTAGATAGACCAAATCAATGATGAGGACAGAAAAAGAGACTTAGAACCTTTCCTGGAAACACTTTCTGCCGGAGCAATCAACTGACTGCACAAACAGCGTGATTTATTCATGAGAAGCATCAGATGGGTCAAAGGTTGAGGGAAATGCATCTTTACCTGTCTCATCGTCATGCTGGATGCAGAGCAACGCATCATAGCACTGAAGGGCTGAACTCTGGGCTGCACTTCCGCCTGATAACAAAATTGGCTCATTGCTCACACCTTCATACAACAGCCCCCTTGGAAGCATGGGGTTGTCTCGCCACCTTAAACAGGTCAAACCACATACATAAACATCCTTTTTGTGCAAATAAGAAGAACACAATACCATTTCACCTTATTCAGTTAAACATATAGTGCAGCAATAGAGAAAAGTACAAAAGGAAGGTAGAAGCAGAAGGGAATTTCATCATTTTATCAGCACCAGATGAAATAAATGTTAAGAACATGAATAACAATAGCATATTGTCACGGACCTTAAACTCACCCTGAGACAAAAATCCTCAATGTTCCATGAAACGCAGTTGGATCCACATGATCTGAAAAGAGCACAATTCCATTTATTGTAATAACCTTGAATTTCTCTACCTTCATCACAGGCACAGCATGTTAATTGGTTCAATTGAGATTGCTCTGTTAATTCAAACTTACTGTGCATAAGTTTGAAAGTTTCCTTCATCTTCTTCAAAGACTGAGTCACTTTCACGAGACCTCTCTGTAGGCTGCTGAGGTCAGAGATGTTCATGGCGCGCATCACCTCCAGAGCTCCCTGGTTAGAGTTTTTAAAAACAATTAGCTGCAAGTGAAAAACACACAGGAATGAGATGGTGTCTTAAAAAAACAAGGGGACACATGGACAGACGTCATTGGGCCGAGGTTCTGAAAGAGTTAACAAAAAAGAGGAAGTGTTACAGCAGTCAGAACTAACCGTAATGCCTGAACTTGCAGCCATCTCGACCAACAAAGA